TATTGGCCACACGACTTTAAAACGGAAAAGCATTTAAAATAAAAAATGTGAGCAGTTTGCACAGAATATACGAAATAGATATATATATGAATACATATATACAAACATGTTATTTTGAAGAGAAAGGGAAGACTTCTGAAAGCATCGCAGTTACTGACCGCTTTTCCCTGCATCACATGTTTTCCCTTCATAACATATTTCCGGGATAAGAGTACCGACATATGATATAAAAATTATACAGGCTAAATTTTTTAGACTGATTAGGAAAATGGTCAAATTAAAAAAAATAGCATTGTTTAATCGCTATTTCTGTTTACTGTGTATTGCAAAACAGTTTGGGGTAAATAATAATATATTCAGTCCGTTTAGAACGTTCAAATATACACAATTTATGATGTGAGCACTTTGCACAGAATATGATGATGAAAAGAAAAGGGGACACAATTGAGGCATCGGAGCTACTACCCTGATTTCCTGCTATAAAAAAAAGATAAGTTATGGAGTATCCATCCATGACACAACACCAGAAAGTGCACAAGAATAGAGCTTTTATTGTTTTTCTTCATTTCAAAGTCACAGTGAGGTTTCAACAGGTAGCAAAAAAAGAAAAAAAAGAGCATATACATATTTTCTCTTTATAACATATTTCCGGGACAAGGGTACCAACATATTATGTAGAAATGCAAGCTACATTTTTCAAATCAATTTCGATAAAAGAATTATCTATGAAAAAATATGGCATTGTTCAGTCTTTTTTCTTTTTGTTATATTTTAACCAGTCTTGCAAACAGATTCGTGCATAAAGGAAACATCCTGTTCGCTCGACTGTCCGTTTGATGTGAGCAGTTTGTAAAGAAGGTAAGAAACAAAATTGTTTTATTTTGGAAAGAAAGGAAATGAAACTGAGGGAATTTACTTACCCTTGCAACAAATATTTTCCCTTCATTACATTTTTCCGGAATAAGGGTAAGACATAAAAAGTAAAATTGCGAGCTAAATTTTCCTGACCAACTTACACTGTAAAAATAACGCTTAAATTTAAATGTAAGTGTTACATGTTTAGGTCTAAATATGTTTAGGATTGTGTTTAAATTCTATACGGATGGCTCCCTAAAGTGTTTTTGATCATTACATGTTTAGATTTTAAACATGTAATGCCTATCTATTGTGTTTAGGTCCTAAACGTGTAATGTCTATTGCATTTAGATCATAAACGTGTAATGTCTATTGTTCTTTTAATGATTCATCTACCTTGAACAGGTGGCGCTGCTAATAATTAATATTTGAAATCAAACGAAGGAAAAATGAGGTCCTGTTGGCAAATATTGATGCCGATACCAATGTGACAGAGTGGTGAAATATAAGTCGTCATAATCATTTACTTTTGAACTCATTCATATGAGTAGCGAGTCCAAAATCATCTTGGAAATTTCAATGGGTTTATGTTTTAAATTTGTAACACTAGAAATAGTGTAGGTGCAACCGGACACAATTCGTCACAAACTCCAAATGATTATCAATAGGGACACCTGAAATCAAAACAATATGTACATACCTAAGCGCGAAAATTCCTAAACATTAAAAATTTGAGTCCCTCAATCCCTAGGCACATAAATTTTCAAAAAGCTTAATGCGTATAGATAAAAGTGTTTAGATGATTTTGGCGTTTCAGAAAGTGGGACAAGAATGTGCTTAGGATTGTGTTTAGGATATAAACGCTATTTGTGTAGTGTAGATAGAGGTATAATAAAAAGATTATAGTATTGTTTAATTGATATTTCTATTTACTATATTGTGTTTTTTTTAGTGTTGGAAACAAAGTTATGGGTATTTAGGAGCCAGTCTGTCCTCTCGACTTTCCTTTTAAAATGTTAAAGAATATTACAAAAAGTATTGAGTTATTTTATCAAAAAGCGGAGACAACCGAAATCATTGTAACTAATATTTACATAACTCCATTGCATATTTCCGGGATAAGAGTACAGACATAAAAAGTACAATTGCAGGTACATTTTTGCAAACTTATTCGCATGCAAATCTAATATAGAAATATTCATTGTTTTATCGTTATTTCTATTAATTGTGTCGTATTTGTTTTACGTCTTGCAAGCAATTTTTAGTGTATATAGGAATCATTCTTTCCACACGACTGTCCGTTTATAAGTTTTAGTATTTAAAAAGGTATGATATGAGTAGTTGTACAGAATATAAGAAACAATATTGTGTCATATTTGGACAGAAAGGGGAGAAAACGGAAAGCATCGCAGCTTTCCCTGCAACACAAACTTTCTCTTTACATCATATTTCCGGGATAAGAATACCAACATCAAAAGGCAAATTGCAGACTTCTTCGGAAGGAGGTATGATGAACAATAATAAAATGGTCTTATCGTTTCTTTTTCCGTTAACAGTGTCGTAATTTTACATGTCTTACAAACAAGTTTGGAGGTATATATGCATTATTATGTCCACACTGTTCAAGGCGCAGTTCAAAGCGCAATTACTTTATCTATATGATGCCAACAGTTTCGCAAGTTTACAAGAAACTTGGTTTCATTCCGGAAAAAAAGGAAAAAAAACCAACAGCATCAAAGCAACTATCCACTTTCACTGAATCATACATGTACTTTTCTTTAATAAAATATTGACGGGTTAAGAGTACTGACATTAAAAATAAAATTGCAGACTAAAACCAGACTAATTCAGATGAAAGTATCATCTAAATATTTATAAGATAGTCTTATCTATATACATAATATTGTTTTCTATTTCGTACATGTTTTAAACGAAGTTTAAGGTCAACAGAAATTATCATTTCCATATAATTGTGAGTTGAATACGTAAAATGATTTGTGAGAAGTGTTAACAGAAAAATTTGAATTTTTTTTTTATATCAGCCTTAATTTTTCAGACTTATTTATATACATGTAGCTGTAATATGATAAAGTGTTATTATAAATACGTTTTATCTTATCTCTGTATATATATATAGTGAGCCGTTTCTTAGGGAACCAAGGGTTTGGCAGTAGCGGAGTTATCTTATTTTTTGTAGTTCTGCAAAACAGCTGTTGGTCGTATGTTTTTCCGTCAAATGAGAACTCACTTTTTATTTCCGAGATAAGAGTATTGACATACAGTAAAATAGTAGACTATATTCAGAAGCTTCTATATACATTGTAGTCTGTCTCATATATTCGAGAGAAAATATGTTGCTGCATTTATCGGATAAGAGTTTATTCATTAAACTAAAATTACAAGATACCTAATAGCCTGAATCGCTCACCTGTCAAAAATATATCTTGCATTGTTGATTATTTTATAGTTCCAACCTATCTTAGTTTTCGAGATAAAAGGCAAACATTGCAAATAAGTCAAAAGTCGTCATTTTAGGGGGGGGGGGGGTACACTTGAAAGGAGTCATTCAAAGAAGCCATCTGAATATTTTGGTGGAAATGGGAAATAAGTAAAAATTGATATTCTGAGCATTTTTTGCGCAAATGATTTATTTCTCTATCTATTGTTTTTTTTTTTAGATATTAGACAATTAATTCATATAATTCATATGTTCAGGTAACATGGTTTTTAGACATGGTAGCCATGGTGGTTGAATTTTAAGAAGATAAAAAACACGAACAAAAAAATATAATACCATCGCGCTCATCCATATATATTAAAGATATCCTGAAATTTAAATACTGAAGGACCTTTAGAAATAAATCATTTTTTACCGATTATTTGTAAAGGTCATGAAATATTTCAGGATATCCTGAATTCGAATTATGAAGGTCCTGAAATACTTTAGGATAAAAAAAAAAGAGATGTGGTATGATTGCCAATGAGACAACCATCCTCCAAAGTTCAAATTAAGTGGTTGTATTTCCATCTATCATAACGTTATGCACGCTTACATTTGTTGCGCGAAAATTTATTTTCACTTTTGTGCACAACTGTTTCCTGCACTTTGTGTTTATTTACAGAATATTCATTTAAATCCTTTCTTATGCAAGGTTATTTATTGTCGGCTCTTACCAGGCTAGGATGTTATTTTTCAAAATCTTCCTGCAAACCCCACCCCGGAAAATCAAATGATTGTCTCCTTAAATAATGATACAAAAATAAAATTACCTTCGACTTTAAAGCTACAAGTCTATTGAGGAAATAAAACTGCATTTGAATTTGTGTTCATTTATATCTATTTATTTTTAGTTGATTAAATATTGGATATGCCTTTCTGTGTTCAGACCATTAGTCAATAATAAAACATTACATTTTCTGGATAAGATTAAACACGTTTCAGTTTAAGAGTACATGTAATAAGTTGCAGTTGTCTCCCTTTCCATGAAATTCAATTTTTTAATGTATTCTCCCTTTACAAATAAGAATAATTTCAATATTTGTGCATTATTCAAAAATTATCGAAATACTATTATATACCGATAAATGCTTATTAGTTTACTGTAAATCTGTTTCACAAAAAATACTTTACAAATTTTGCTTTGTTGAAAAATATTACGGAATATGTTTGTTCCCTTGTTAAGGGTAATGGGATAAATGTAAATTTCCGGGTTAAGGGTAATTCCCGGATAGGTGTATGACAATAGCTGCAATATATTGTTCGAATAATATAACTAACAGACGCGGAAAAAAATCACAAAACAAATTAATTCAGTTCAAAACCCATTCCGTTGAAATAAATAATCTGACATGGGAAAACTGCAAATAAAAATAATGATAATAATTTTCATTCAAGAATAATTCCGTTTTAATGTAAATCGACAATTCGTACTGAAGCGAAAAAGGTAAGATAAAAGTTTCAAAGTAAGAGTAAGCTGAATAAAATGTATGAAATTAAGACAGACAATACCATAACCAAAACGAAAAAGACGAAAAGATAATTCAACAGTGCGTAAAAACATTACACCGAAAGTTAAGTAATTTTAAAGTACTGATCTTCACAATATATCTCTAAGAAAGTTTGAAAATTAAACTTCAGTTCTTACTATTTTCTTCGGTAAAACCTTTAAGTCTTAATAAATTTAGACCTTTGGAAGTATCAGTTACACCGCCTTTCCATTTGATGTTTCTAATGGCTTCTATCAGTTTATCTTTTTCCTTGTATTTTTTCAGTGGTATATCCATGTTTGCATCTTGAGAAAATGTTATTATTCCAATCTGAGTTGGATAATAATTCAATTCATTTGTGTTGATCGTTTCAATAACATAGTCCTTGGCCTTTTCAAATCCATTAGGTCCAACTGAAGATGACATATCGAGGAGAAAAATAATATCGTACTTGCATGCTGTTCATAAAAAGATAAAATATGTTTGTATATCAAATAGAAAAAACAACACTATTAAATCAAAAATATTATTGCCAAACAATACAAATCATATATCTAAATGGAAAAAAAAACAAAGCACACGCCTGAAAATATATTGTCTACTCAAAATCGTTTTTGAAACTTATTACTGATGGCTAATAAACGGTTCTGTGTAGAGAAACATGTATAAATAAATATGTGATTAGTTGGTTTCTATATAATAAAGAAATACGAAATATCAGTTTCTAATATTTTATTATTCTATTTCTACGACCAACATTTTATTTATGTACAAACCCAATGACACAATATTAGATGGCCATAAACTGTGCTAAGCATGACATTATTCATACTATTCTTATTGTCATTGATTTCATGTCTCTGATCATGTTTTCACATTTTGTGTGTAATACATGTATAAAGGTTTTTAAAATATCTAATAGATTGTAAGAATAGATAAAAGATAATCGTTTATGCCAGAAACGTCTTTAATATACATGAAATATTTGCAACTGAACGCTATGAACGCTACAATTAATCCGCTATGAGAAAAACAATTATATTTAGAAAGATATATTTTGATTTCACCACTTTTTCTAATTTTGGTCTTACCTCCATTTTCTCCTTTGCTTTGGCCACTGTTTTGACTCAGATCATCTTTGCCATGACAAACTTTGTCGTTCAATTCTATTGTGATGGCAAACAATAGAAGTTTCCACCAGAATTTCATTCCCGTCTTATCTAAACATGTGATTTGCAGTTTTGTATTTTCTGAGCGAGAGAAAAATATCTTGCACAAAGATTTGTATTTACATCATGGTTTGTGCATTATTTATTATAAATCGTAAAATGGTATGATTTGCTTTATAAATGCGAATAAAAGGTATAACAACAAAAATACCGAACTCCAAGGTAAATATAAAATTAGAAAAATCCATAAAATCTGACAATATCAAACGAAACAACGAAACCAATGGAAACCAACTGTCATATTACTGACTTGGTACAGGTATTGTCCGAAAAAGATGGTGGATTGAACCTGGTTTTATAGCTAGCTAAACCTCCAATTTGAAACGACACATAAAAACCACGCGATAAAAACACAGAAACCAAAGGACATCTACTAGCGACCAACAAAGGCCATAATGACATAGAAATTAGAAAATTCTGCATGTATGCTTTTACCAATATTATTATTTTCAATTATGAACATATGTTATGTACAAATGAACACTATAGATGTTTCGGGATTAGTGTTATGATGGTTTCTTGATTAAACATTGTAATTTAATGATAAGGAGATGCAGTATGTGATCCACATTACTGGAAATATGAAATAGTATGTATGACAAACTGTTGTCACAGATATATGTCTCGTCTGTGTAATTCTGATAGTTTAATGCAAATGTTGGAAATTTATATTGCAACGCTTTAACGTGCAAAGTATGCAAAACTTTCAAAGTCAATGAATCTGATTAAGGGACCAGGGTCAAATAATTTTAATGGAAACGAAATGTGTCAATGCTTATACATACGCATACCAAATGTCTTTGACATAACATAAAATCTTCCCCTGAAGCTCTTCTAATAATAAACTGAATATAGTAACAAAGGTTATTTTACGGATTTGTTGATGATTAAACTAGTCAAGCTCACTCACACACTTAAGAAAATATGAAAGGAATTTATATTGAGTTTGTGAGTGAAATCCAAAGTTTTAACATCGATTATCTCCGTACTAACAAAATAGAAATTGTTCTACAACATTGCATATCTTTGCTAGTGTAGATACATATTCCATCTTGATTATAATGTTTTGTCCTCTCAGTCGCATATAAATATGCACAGTTCTAAAGATAAAAGGAATCTGCATGGAGAAAAATATAATTATATGTCCGTTTTTGGTGCCTATGTTTTTATTCTTAATGTTTATTCATTTCCATGAAAAAATTAAAGAAAATAGTTGTTTAAATCCAAGACACAAACTTCCAGCGCACACTTGACACAATCAAAAACAAACTTTAAGGCTCTTCTTCATAACAAAAACTATAGTATTACATATGTTCAAAGTGTCTGCCATTGCAAACCATGTTAAATTCATGAAAACTTTTCAAAATACACAAAGCAGATTAAAAAAAAATCATATAATGCCGTTTTAAGAATACATCATGAGATAGAGCATTACTTACCAAAACAGTTTGTCGCACTGGGTGTTCACAAAGTATGTAAATTCTTGAATATACTATGACAATGTCTAATTATGTAATCTTAATCTTGAATGCTGATCTCATCATGAACAGGTTGCATATTAGTCTGAATAGGTCTGTAAAACGAGCACCAACTATTATTTAAGAAAATGTCAATTATTTAAAAAGATGCTAATGGATTTCAAGACAATTACAATTTGTTTTTTATTTAATATATTGACAGCTTTCATGGTGTACCAGCTTTTATTTATTGCCATTTTATCTCACAACTCGTTAAAACGTAATTATAATGACTGATGAATCAGCTGGATATTATATACGTATATTTGATCAAGTACAAAACATGCTTTAATGATTCAAACCATTGGGATTGGTTGATTGGCAATTGTTTACGTGTTTTGACAAATATATATTTTTTTCTTTTCCTTACCTGTCGCTTTTTTGTAGCAAATTTAAGAAACGAATTGGATGAAGGACGAATCAAAGCGGTTGAAAGTTTTACGGAGGCCATCATGACTTGACGTAATATCTGTAATACAGATGACCAAAACAGAAGAACTGTTCCCCTTGAAGATTGTTTAAGCTTACCTCCGTGTTTGCGAGGTTCGAGGCATGTGGTGTCTCTTCTTATGGCGTCGTATATTTTGTTTTACTCTAGACTTTTTTTTTTTATCATAAAGCATAGAAGGGAAAGTGAAATAATTTAACTTGTGTTAGCATGACTGTTATTGACCTATCTACGCATTCAAAGAAAAAAAAGATACATCTAGATAAGGCAATTTTTAAGTTGCGATTGACTTTGGAACTAAATTTCAGTCATTACAAGTACTCTCAAATAGGTACTTTGAGTCTTAAGTCTTTTTGTTAGTTGTATTTTTCGCGTGCTTAGTGTCGATCTGATGAGTCAATCCTCTTTCCACAGATTTTTATAGTTTGTTATTTTTTTGTGTTGTTGCACTTCTGTCCCAGGTGAGGGGGAAGGTTTGGCGCCAGCAAACATGATTTAGAACCCGGAGTACAGGAGACTTTTACATTCATATAATAGAAAACGGGCCAGTCAGTTAATTTTGGATCATACAGTATAACAATAGAATAAAATTTTCGATCCATATTTGGAATTAAATTGCAGGTTTTTGTATGACTTATTTTGTTTATCTAAACTGAATGGTTTATTTAAGAAGTTAGACTCGAATTTTCTAACTTTTTGATCAAAACTCAATACACATATATATAGATATAGCTGTTATTTCAAAATCAAATCTGTATGTAAGAATCGTTAGTTCAAATTACAATAAATACAAGATAATACACTCTGAAACATGATTAAAAGAATATTATCTAACCATTTAATGTTAACATCCATTTTAATAACTTAGAAGTCTGTTTTGTACTATTGTCAACTTGTTTTCCAACCTAAAATAACAAATAACAAAGGTCCAATTATATTTATGCATATCTACAAAGATGCTATCTATTCTGAACTCAGAACCAATATTCTTTGATGTTGTACGTTTTATTATTAGTTGTAATATGAATGGTAATTTTTCCTTTGATCTTCGAGTGAGTTAAATTCTGTTATTTTTAGAGGAGTGCGTTAACTGAATATTTTTTTCAGTTATTGCACTCTCCAATCCCGCCGTTGATGGCTTGTCATGGGAAAAGCAAAGAATGGGCGGAGCTTAGACCGCTGCCCTAACTTTCATCTCAGAAATTGTTATTTCACTGTCTAGCTCCGCCTCCTTGGCCTAGTAAACAATCATGAATGAAATCAATGACCATAAAATGTCCTAATACATTTAAATAAAATGCATGCATACATAACAATTTATCAAAAACTAAATTCGGGAAAGGGGAGGGGGAACTTACATTTACACTAGCCAAACTTGTAAACCTAACCCTAAATTAAAAATTATTCCATAAACTTGAAGCAAATGAACGCCCGAGGAGAGCTACAAAAAGGAATAACGTGGTCTATGAACGAAGAGGCGATATTGATAAATTGGTGGACACTTCTTGATTTTCAGTCGTTTCTTTTACTCCACTTTTCAAATGAATATCTCCGTGAATTGATCATACTTAAAATAGTTATCTGTGGTCCTTACGCAATCAACAGCCCATCTATTAATCGATCTTTTTCATGGTGTTGGAAAAGGCAGAAACCTTCACAATAAGTTTTAAAAACGTTTCCTTCTGATCACAATTTTTAACTTCTAAAACTACACGTCCTATTGGTTTTGAAAGGGGAACACTTCAATAACACATAAATCGATCTCTAATCTTTAAAGACCTTGATGAAAGTATCACGGCAACAATTCATTTACATGTAACAAAACATAAAATTGTCTCCTTTATTTGTTTTTGAATCGATTTACGAGATTTGAACATCGGTAAACCACAGTAATTGTCGCCTTAATTCAATAGCTTCCTTGTCAGCAGCAACCTTCTATCAATGAAATTAAAACTATAACAAAATCCAAACTACCAATACATGACAATGTAGGCAATTGAAGACCATTGAAGTCAAGTCAAATTTATTGTAAGTCGACGAGCATCTTTTACAAATAACATAAGCTTTGAAGAGCTCTTAAATCGACTACATGAACAATACACAACAATACACGCATACAAAAGCAATATCATTCGATGTGACAATTGTGCTTTGATTCCATAAATAATGTTAGCACAAACACACACATATACACACCCACACAATCTAGCAATTTTCACACACTAAATACAAATGTGACTACTATGCTGCATTTATATTAAGTTATATCGAAAAACATGGAAAAATCAATACTTTTTTCAATGTTCATTAAATCATGGAACATATTTTGCTAATTTCAAAATAAATAAATCTAATAATCATATTATATTACATAAAATGATTTCTTATAGTATAAATATGTAGCTACAATGACCCATAAACTTGCACCATAGAGATCTATTGCAAGATGACTCGCATGTGTTTCTGGAACGTGCCAGTTAACTGGAAAATTCTTATGCAAAAGTTCGTGTCCCATATATACCAATATGGCATACATACCTGTAATAATTGAAGTTATTACAAAGAAACTTCTACATAGCTGAAAGACACAGTAATAATAAGTTACGTGCATTAAAAACCACCAATTTACAATAATTAACAAAATAAAAAATTAAAAGAGAATATTAATAACAAGAGGCTCTTAAGAGCCTGAATCGCTCACCTGTAATATTTTTGCATAAATCTTTCGTAAATTTTTGAAAATTAACAAACATGATAAACAAATTAAGAAAAAATGTCTTTAAAGGTTTATAACTCCTTCATTGGTCAATTGACAATTTGGATCATTTGAATTATTTGAAGATCTTACTTTGCAAAACACTTTTGCTGTTTGTTGTTTATCTCTTTTTTTATAACATTCAAGGTAACAACCAAAAACTGCAAAACTTCCATAAAATTGTCAATTCAGGGGCAATAACCCCAAAATCAGTTGTCTAATTTGTCTTGAAATTTCAGGGCATGTAGATCTTTACCTAATGAACACTTTCACTCCTGTGAGTTTTGCTATAAATGCTTTAGTTTTTGAGATATCAGCCAGAAACTGCATTTTACCCTATGTTCTATTTTTAGCCACGACGGTCATGTTTTTTTGACAAAACACAAAATAAAACACAAACTTTATAATAAATACCCTAAGGATCATTAAGCATAATTTTTGCTGCAATTGGTTCAGAAGTTTCAGAGAAGAAGATGTTTGAGTTAAAAAAAATGATGAACAAAATGTGTAAAATTGTCTTTAAATGACAATAACTCCTTAAGGGGTCAATTGAAAATTTTGGTCATATTGACTTAATGATAGATCTAACTTTGCTGAACATTTTTTTGCTGTTCACAGTTTCTCTGTCCCTATAATAATATTCAAGATAATAACCAAAAACTGCAAAATGTCCTTAAAATTATCAATTCAGGGGCAATAATCCAAAAATCTGTTGTCTGACTTGTCTGAAAATTTCGTGGCAGGTAGATCTTGACCTAATAAACACTTTTATCCATGTCAGATTTGCTCTAAATGCTTTAGTTTTTGAGATATAAGCAAAAAACTGCATTTTACCCCTATGTTCTATTTTTATCCATAGCGGCCAAATTTTTTGACGAAACAGAAAATAAAACACAGAATTTATACTAGATACCCTAAGGATCATTCAGCTTAAGTTTTGTTGAAATTGGTTCAGTAGTTTCAGAGGAGAAGATCTTTGAAATAGTTTACACCGGACAAACGACGAGGACGACGACAGACGACGACGGACGCCAAGTGATTGCGAAAGCTCACGTTTCCTTTTAAGAAAGGTGAGCTAAAAAGGACATCAAGCAGAAACGCTCTAAAATCAAACTGTATCAAAGACGGACATCATGTTTTTTAAGCTGGCTTTGAACATTTAGTTGTGAATCACAAGTCGGTATCATTTTTCCGTTGAGTTTCGTCAAGACCAAGATAATTTCGCATCCTTACAAACAGCGGTAGCATACAATTGGTTGGTCTGTAAAGTGTTTAAATTTCGAAAGCGCCAATAGCTACCATGTTTTAAATACAAATTAGTATTGACAAAGCCAAAAGTTTTCATCCAAATGTTAAACGAGAGGATGGACATGTTAAGAGGCGTGGGTTTGTTTTATATTATAAATCTTATGTTTAATTTAATTAAAGTATTGTTGAAATTTAGAATGTATAGCAGTGTGTTACGTTTCTACTGTCATACAAGTGAGAGGTTTAGCTACCAATAAAACCAGGTTTAATCCACCATTTTCTACATGAGGATATGCCTGTATCAAGTCAGAAATATGACAGTTGTTTTACATTCATTTGAGGTGTTTGAGCTTTTGATATTGCCATTTGATAACGGACTTTCCGATTTGAGTTTTCCTTTGAGCTCGGTATTTTCATATTTTACTTTTTGTATGCAAGATTTCGTCCCATCTAAGTGGAGGTGGTTACATATTTTAAGAAATCTATTGTTTAAAATGTGACAATTATTTTCTTTGTATCGTTCTTACCTTGGTAATAAAATGGTGCTCCATTCCACATTTTCCATTAATCTATCGTCAAATAGCAAAAACACAACAGAAGAAATGCAAAACC